AAACCCAAAATCTCACAGCTTACCGTGAGCCAAGCACTGCTGCAGCCATCCCAGCTGGAATTGCAAGTGTTGGAAAAGAGAGGGGAGGCAGGAATCTAATGGGAAAATAGCACATCCTTCCTGCTCAGCAGCAGTGGTAATTTCTTAACGTTAATGAACATGTACCATGATATGTGATCCCGTGCTAATAAAATCTCCTCTTCTGGCATCCGCTTCTCCCGGGGGATATGGAAGCAGCTGGAAAACCAGCACACACCTACCCTGGCACCACTGGGACTGCTGGATCCTTAAAACTCTCTCAAAGAGGGCTGTAAAAGGAGATGCATTTTCCCCACACTCCCCACGGCAGCAGCAGTCTCAGCTGAGCAATGGCCTCTACTTAGCCTGCAGGTGTCTGGGGTTTTCCAGTTCTAAAACATGTGAGTGTTTAAAGCTTTTTATTCACAAGAGATTTGGATATTGTTGAATCCTTATGACTTTTGTCTATTTAAAATTCCTTCTTAAGACAGTGGTCAGAAACCAGGAATATGTGGGTCTCCATGAGACAGAAGCAGCCCTGTCTGAAATACATTTTTATCTTATTAAAAAGCATTTACTGCCTGAAAGCATGTTTAATACAGAGCAGTTAAATTTTTTTCTCTCTTCTTTGTAACTATTACCTATGTCTTAATGTATCAGTGGAGCATTTCCTGAATTCACTTTTCTGTTTTGTTTCAGTTCAGGCCCTGCTCCCCAGGGGCCCTTCTCCTCTCTCACTGTTTCTGGAACATTTCTGTCACGGTGCTGCTTTGGGAGCAGGGTCCCAGGTGGAAGCTATGGGCAGATACAACCTCAGCCTGGTCCTCTGTCCTATTTTGGGGGAAATTTTGAGTTTAATTCCTAGCTTTGCCACAGACCTATTGGGCAGCCTTGGACAAAACCTGTCACTAGCTGAAAACCACAAAGGGAGAACAAGGGAACAACACAAAGGTTGCAGAAGGAAAAAAGGTGTTTATGTAAAACTTCCAAAAACCAGGGGGGTCATTGCTGGGACATCAGCCAAGCAAAAATTATAAATTCCTATAAATTACTGAGCTACTTCTCAGAGTTATTATAGCAGAACTGCAAAACCAGAAATCATATTTTGTTTTCAGTTTCTCCCTGCCTTGTTTCAGAGACCATATTTCTTACAAACAAGGCTCTTATTTCAGTATTCATTAGATTGTCTGTCAAGGAGAGCAGCTGCTGTTGATGAATTGATTAAGACACTCAGGACGGTTCAGCTTAAGGAAGAAAAGACACAACAGATTTCAAAGACATAGAAGGCTGCTGTGACAATAAACAGCTTTCTTCTCCTCCCACATTCAGGGTGGACAAAAGGCTGTTTTTAATTGCACAGAAGATTCAGGTTAGAGAGGAAACAGTTTTACCATTAAGGTTATTGCAGAAAGCTTTGGAGAGCAGCCTGGCAGGACCAGGCATGCACAGCTCCCTGAGTGCCAAGGGTCCTTCACACCTACAACCTCAGACGTTTCTCCTCACCTTCCTCATCACTTGGTGACTCCCATTATTTTCAGACAGAAACTCCAAAAGCAAAAGTATTCCCCTTATTCTGCTCATTTACAAGTCCTCACAGAGAAAGTGGAATAAAATGGCTGAAGAGCTGGACAGAACTCTTGGAATTCCTATATCCATGTAAAAAGTGATCCAGCTGCAAAGAAAGTCACAATGTTCTGATTTCAAACTAACAGAGCACTATGGGTACAGATTTCTCATCCTTATTGTTTCTTGTTGTCCAATTCAGAGGCACAATTTACCTGCAACTAGAAAAGCATTTGATGGGAACACTGAGTCGATTTATCCACCCAGCCAAGCAAACAGTAATCAGCCAGGAGATAAATAAATGGGTCAACAAGTATTTTGCTCCTGAATGCTCAGGGTAAGAAATCATATACCTAAAGCCCCAAATTGGAGATCAATCACTGTCCAGACAGCAGCACCAAACTATATCTCTATACAGCTGGCATTTCCAAGAATTATTGGAGAATTTCCTGCTTGAACAACACACAGGGCAAAGTTATAATTTGTTCCCTATGAAAACTATATTGAATGATTTTCCCATAGAATTAGCTGCAGGAACTAGATAGAAATAAATAGAATAAAATAATAGAATATTTAATTCAGCACACACAGCAAGTTTTACCAATCTGAGCATGAGATGGTAAACAACAGAATTGCAACTACACAAACTCCTACTTCTGTGTCTTGGGAATTGGCTCCTGGCTTCAAATTACTCACTGCTAGAAAGCAGTTTGTTCCCATCCACCTAATCAGCACCTGACTTTTCTGCAGTGTTCAAGCAAACTGAAGACAGATGGGCTGTAGCAATAGAAAGGGAAAGAACTGCAAAACTTTCAAGTAACTATTTAAGAAGTAAACTAAGTGCAATTCTTCACTATTGTCCTGTGGTGGGAATTTGCTGCTTTAAAAACAAATCACGTATGAGAAATTAAGGGATATATGCTAAAATTACTGTGGCTCCCCAGTAATATGAATACATGGTTACTGTGCCATAAAAAAAAATAAAGCAGAGAGCTCCAGTGCAGCCCAAGTGCAAGAGCCAGCAGACACAGTGCTCCAAGTGCCTTCTGGAACTGCAAATGATGCAGCAGCACAATTCCCTGAGCAAGACAGACCCAGTGCAGCTTTGGAGAGCCCCCAGCCGTGAAGTAATATGAATACGTGGTTACTGTGTCATAAAAAAAAAATAAAGCAGAGAGCTCCAGTGCAGCCCAAGTGCAAGAGCCAGCAGACACAGTGCTCCAAGTGCCTTCTGGAACTGCAAATGATGCAGCAGCACAATTCCCTGAGCAAGACAGACCCAGTGCAGCTTTGGAGAGCCCCCAGCCGTGTCCACATGACACAACCCCCACCTGTGCTCCTCTGCTGGACATTTATTAAAGGCAGGCCCCAAATCTTCAGATATTCTTGTCAGCAGAAAACATTTGAAGCAAGGACAAAGGTAAAACTAAAATTAAATTAAACTAAATGGAGCCTGCAGGTTTCATGGTTTCCACCAAGGCTGAGACAAGACACAAAGAGCAAAAGGTGCCTTAGGCTTGTGGTTTGAGCACTTCAGCACAGTGGCACAGGAATCTTGATCTTTAATGGATGGATTTTTTGATAAGTCAGAATAAAAAGTCCTTCATCCACCAACATCTCTTCTCAGAAGCGCTGCCCTAGGTCTGCTTGCACCGAAGTAATTGGGAATTTCCCAACAGCATCACTGTGAGCTGGACCCTTTGATTCTCTAATTGGGAAGGCAGAACACTCAGTCTGAGCTGTCACCAGTCCAGTGAAGTCTTGAAAATGTTCAAGAACATGTAACTCACAAAGCTCAAAATACAGTGTTCTCAAGGTTAAAATCAGGGCACCCAGCATCTAGAACAAGTCAGAAAAACTCTGTGGAAAAAAAGAAAATAGTCTGCTGAAAGTACTCTACCGCTGTCGAGATGTCTTGACATTTTTTTGAAGCCAAAATCTTGACTTAGAAACTGAAGAATTAATCTGGAAACAGAACCTTTTCATATGACATCTGTTAAGAAAACCTGTCTTTATTAATCCTTCAACCAAGCCTTTATGGCACCCATTTTCAGTTAGTCAGATAACCATGAAAGCCCCTGCACTGCAGAACTCCTGGGTCAGCTTTCCTTAAGGACAAAATACTAACTGGGGCATCATCACTCTCTACAGAATCATCAATAAATTCCTCCCAAATTATTATTCCATTACAGCTGCCCTGTGCTGACATCAGCAAACCAAAGATATTGCTTTAACTTCCATTAAATCATTTCCCTGTGAGGCAGGGAACATGGATTTTATGAAAACCTGAGACCACAAGCTCCTGCAGAGTTGTGAGAATCAGGCTCTGACTTCCAAAGGGAAGATTTGGGAAGCAGTGGAATAAAGCACTTACCTGGAATGCTGTCTCCTCTTCACAGGACGGATCTGGACATTCACTACCACGTGAGAGCAACATGTACATAACACAAGACTGCTCTGTGGTTCCTGCATTTGCACTAATGAAATATCAGCTCACAGTCTTGTCTCAGAACTATGAAACTGCTCCAACATTGCTGCTTCAAAATCCAGGCGATGCAGAAATCCTGCAGGGCACTCAGACTTAGGTGAAGGGAAGGCAAGACTGGTTTTACACTTGTAAAACAGAGTCCCTCCTCTGTTTTCAATTCATTACAGGCACTTTTCAACAGCAAGTTTCAAAATATTAGAATCAATTTTGATAGCATTACTGAGAAAGCTACTACTTTTGGATATAGAGCAAATCAGCAATCTACAAGAAAAAGCAGCAATTTCACCATAAAGTGGTGACACATTGAAAAGAAACTGTCCAGGTTCCCTCACTTGGATTATGACATGACCCACAATTCCAAAGGAATTAAATCATTATATGTATGATGGATGTATGCTATTTCACACGTGAATCTGAACAGTTTCACACATCTGAAATACAGAACCACATCTGAAATACAGTAACACAAACAACACTGCTCTGCACAGCCAAACTGGGTCGCTGTGTACCACCAGATCTCCCCGACGTGAGATTCCATCGCCAGGAAGGAGCTGCTGCCACGCTCCAGAATCCTCCACACAGCTAGGCTGCAGCTGCAAGCACCACTGGACTCTGCTTCTCTTCCACAGGTGTAGGGGCGAGGGGAAGATGGAGCATATGAAACACAAAATCCATCAGTTCCCCTGAATGGAATTGCAGGACAGGGTGGCAGGGAGGGTGTCACCATCACAGGATCTACCGTGTGCTCACACAGATCCTGCAGCCACACACTGCATTAGCTCCTGCTGCTGTGTGCACCTTGTCTTATGTGAAAATGTACCAAACCAAATAGTAAAAACAGTGTTTCAGTCTGTCACTTCCCCAGCCTAATGATCTGCAAATCTTCCATCCCAAGCGTCTAAAATTATTGGTATATAACATTCAGCCAAGGTAATATCAAAATATATTTTATTCTGGACCTCTTTCAGATCTGATTCAAATTACAGTTGTCAAAGCAATACAATGCAAAGGGAAACTGCAACAGAAAATGTGCCTAGAAGGGATATAAGGGCCTTGGGGACAAATCATTGTGATGTAGAACCAAAATACATCATAAAGTGTAATTAACATGGTCCAGGACAGTATAGAACATCTATATCAGTCTTCTTTAGACAATAATCATGAAAACTGAACAATAAAAGTCCTTTAAACAAGTACAAAAAACTGTCATGGGCTGGTTTACACTTTTACAACAGTTGTAGTTTAACTGGATAACTGAAGAAATGATGCAGACATTTTAATCCAGTGCTATAGGTAGGCTCACAGAATTAGACCCAAAGGATTTGTAACTCCAAATGAAACCATTACAACTACAATGTCAATGTCAGGAGAGAGAGAAAATTACTTCTGTATTCTAGAATTACTGTTCTGCACACTGCAGTCTGTTGAGGACAAGATTGCAAAGTACACTGGACTAGCAACAACATGCAGACTGTTTTCTTGTATTTACCCACAAATGTCAAAAAACATTATGAAGTAAAAATGAATGATTATTTAAAAATAAAAAAACAAAACAAAACAAAAACATGCCTCAAGTTATTGTCAAGCTTCAAACTTAAAGGCAGAGAAAGCGAATTATGTACTCAAAACTACTGATCTGAAGCACTATTAACACTAAATCTGCAATCCACTCGAAATGGCAGATTTTCCTGGTTCGTCTGCCTCCCACCAGACTGACAGTGAAGACAGTCACACTTTCACAGCTCGTGGTATTTCAGAGCTTTCTCTAGAGGGAGAAGTGAGGACTGCTCCATGTCTCTCTCCCTACGGAAAATGTCAGGGATCTTGATGGAGATTTACTGCTGTCTCCCGAAGCCGCATTTGCTGCTAACATGCCACAATGTTGCTTCTGCTTTCTTCAGGCGTCTGGAGAGGGTGGAAGTGATCCCACCGGGGAATGGCTCTACAGGGCTTTGGGAAGGGAGGAGCTATCCTGCTCTTCAGCCAAAAAGGAACTGGGCTAAATCCAGCAGGCCCTGCTCTGGCGAAACCCCACGGACACGGGGGATGAGGCCGATTTTATCCGCACCGGGGTTCGGCACGGCGCCGCCAGCGCTCGCCCTGGCAAGGGTGGAGTGACAGAGCGTGGGATTTTTGGGGAAGTAAAGATTGCAAAAATCAGGTCCCAAGGCTCCCCCCCACTTTGCTGAACACACAGCCTTGTATTTACAGGCTGAACCCCCCGGCCTGCAGTGGCAATGAAGCTCCTTTAATGAATTAAAGGTGCCAGCTGCTGAGGTCGCTCTGCTGGCAAACCGGCACGGCCGCCCGGTGCCACCCACTGCTCTCCCTGAACACAAAGGACATTCCCCATCAGACGCCCCAGCATGAGGTAAGCAGTGTAAGGAAAAAGGAGTGCTTTTTAAAATGAAAATCAATTAAAATTGGTAGAAATCTTTGGCCTTTCTCTCAAGATGCATTAAAGTGTCACGAAATCAAGAAACATGCTTTGAAATGCCATGTCGTTCTGACTCTGGTAACTACTACCTCCCCTCCACCCAACCCAGAAAAAGAGGCACTTTTAGTGTTTCATATAAGATTTCCAATCATCTAGTAGACATGCTAAATAACCCTGCACAATGGTAGTCCCAGAATAAACTCAGTTTATCAACATTACAAAGAGTCTAAAAAAGCTTTTATGAAGACCTAGATATTCTCTTAACTACACTAAAAAGTCCACTGGTTGGGAATCTTTACATCAATTTAAAAATGCAGAAAAAGGTGAAGTAAAAATAGAAAAAGACAAACTCTACAGAAACCTGGATCTGGTCATGCAAAAATGACAAACGGGATTCTGAGATGGATGCACAGAAAGACAGCGAACTCAAGAGCAGTTCATTTCTTACCCCATCATTAATTCTGAGCCCAGCTTTTCCCCTTCCTTTTATCCTCTGTTTGGATATTTGCCTGTCATCGTGTTGAGCAGATAAAAATAGGAATGACTCCATCCATGAGACTGAGCACGCACGTACACACTACACAAAGTCAGGGCCTTGCTGCCATTTGGCTTCCCCTTTGAAAGGAGCAATTTGGACAGTCTACCCCAGCCTGGAACACGAGGCCTTTGTGTTATCAAAACAACAATTAAAGTCACGGTTCTGTGGTGTTTTTGTCTGGTTTTTGGTTGACAGGGTGGCAGAACCCGGCGTGCGGCGGCTCCGGGTGCGCAGGAGCAGCACTGTGGCATGCGAGGCAGGACAGCTACGGCTGGAGCTCGGCTTGGGGACACCAGCCTGGGGACACCGGCCTGGCCCTGTGGCAGTGGGACACCTCAGCTTGGGGACACCGGCCTGGCCCTGTGGCAGTGGGACACCTCAGCTTGGGGACACCGGCCTGGCCCTGTGGCAGTGGGACACCTCAGCTTGGGGACACCGGCCTGGCCCTGTGGCAGTGGGACACCTCAGCTTGGGGACACCGGCCTGGCCCTGTGGCAGTGGGACACCTCAGCTTGGGGACACCGGCCTGGCCCTGTGGCAGTGGGACACCTCAGCTTGGGGACAGTGAAGACAGTCACACTTTCACAGCTCGTGGTATTTCAGAGCTTTCTCTAGAGGGAGAAGTGAGGACTGCTCCATGTCTCTCTCCCTACGGAAAATGTCAGGGATCTTGATGGAGATTTACTGCTGTCTCCCGAAGCCGCATTTGCTGCTAACATGCCACAATGTTGCTTCTGCTTTCTTCAGGCGTCTGGAGAGGGTGGAAGTGATCCCACCGGGGAATGGCTCTACAGGGCTTTGGGAAGGGAGGAGCTATCCTGCTCTTCAGCCAAAAAGGAACTGGGCTAAATCCAGCAGGCCCTGCTCTGGCGAAACCCCACGGACACGGGGGATGAGGCCGATTTTATCCGCACCGGGGTTCGGCACGGCGCCGCCAGCGCTCGCCCTGGCAAGGGTGGAGTGACAGAGCGTGGGATTTTTGGGGAAGTAAAGATTGCAAAAATCAGGTCCCAAGGCTTCCCCCTCTTTGCTGAACACACAACCTTGTATTTACAGGCTGAACCCCCTGGCCTGCAGTGGCAATGAAGCTCCTTTAATGAATTAAAGGTGCCAGCTGCTGAGGTCGCTCTGCTGGCAAACCGGCACGGCCGCCCGGTGCCACCCACTGCTCTCCCTGAACACAAAGGACATTCCCCATCAGACGCCCCAGCATGAGGTAAGCAGTGTAAGGAAAAAGGAGTGCTTTTTAAAATGAAAATCAATTAAAATTGGTAGAAATCTTTGGCCTTTCTCTCAAGATGCATTAAAGTGTCACGAAATCAAGAAACATGCTTTGAAATGCCATGTCGTTCTGACTCTGGTAACTACTACCTCCCCTCCACCCAACCCAGAAAAAGAGGCACTTTTAGTGTTTCATATAAGATTTCCAATCATCTAGTAGACATGCTAAATAACCCTGCACAATGGTAGTCCCAGAATAAACTCAGTTTATCAACATTACAAAGAGTCTAAAAAAGCTTTTATGAAGACCTAGATATTCTCTTAACTACACTAAAAAGTCCACTGGTTGGGAATCTTTACATCAATTTAAAAATGCAGAAAAAGGTGAAGTAAAAATAGAAAAAGACAAACTCTACAGAAACCTGGATCTGGTCATGCAAAAATGACAAACGGGATTCTGAGATGGATGCACAGAAAGACAGCGAACTCAAGAGCAGTTCATTTCTTACCCCATCATTAATTCTGAGCCCAGCTTTTCCCCTTCCTTTTATCCTCTGTTTGGATATTTGCCTGTCATCGTGTTGAGCAGATAAAAATAGGAATGACTCCATCCATGAGACTGAGCACGCACGTACACACTACACAAAGTCAGGGCCTTGCTGCCATTTGGCTTCCCCTTTGAAAGGAGCAATTTGGACAGTCTACCCCAGCCTGGAACACGAGGCCTTTGTGTTATCAAAACAACAATTAAAGTCACGGTTCTGTGGTGTTTTTGTCTGGTTTTTGGTTGACAGGGTGGCAGAACCCGGCGTGCGGCGGCTCCGGGTGCGCAGGAGCAGCACTGTGGCATGCGAGGCAGGACAGCTACGGCTGGAGCTCGGCTTGGGGACACCAGCCTGGGGACACCGGCCTGGCCCTGTGGCAGTGGGACACCTCAGCTTGGGGACACCGGCCTGGCCCTGTGGCAGTGGGACACCTCAGCTTGGGGACACCAGCCTGGGGACACCGGCCTGGCCCTGTGGCAGTGGGACACCTCAGCTTGGGGACACCGGCCTGGCCCTGTGGCAGTGGGACACCTCAGCTTGGGGACACCAGCCTGGGGACACCGGCCTGGCCCTGTGGCAGTGGGACACCTCAGCTTGGGGACACCGGCCTGGCCCCGTGGCACTGCTGGCCCTGGCCGGGGCTCTGCCCGCAGCGCTCGAGCCAACGGAGCCGACGTTCCTGACAGCCCTGTCCTGGACACGCTGGAGCTCTGGTGTTCTCTATTTCTGAGTGTGTGATGCTATGCTGAAGCAAATTGCAACCAAAACAGCTGATGACTGAGAAAGAGGAAAATGGCAATACCCTAAAACATGGCTGTGTGATTTTGCAGCTATGTCACAGAATTCCACCACAATTCGGTTTAGATTGGCTGAAAGAATCATCCAATAACTTTTATGAAAATGAATAAACTGTCCATATTAAAATACAAAAGTACTATCAAGAATCACTTCTGACTTTCAGATTTAAATTCAGTGCAATTGACAAATGCATTGCTAAATGAAAAATGCAGCTTAAACATACTCAAAACATTTGTGTCTATTCCTGGGAGCACAGTTTAAAATTATTGCACAGATTTTTTTTTTATTTTTATTTTTTTTTCATTAAATGACAGAGGTCAGCCACAGTCATGGACCTCCAGCAATAAAAGCAATATTTCAAGTGCCAGACACTCAATATATTAGGTTTCCTACATATTGTAACTCACAGGGTAATTGCTCTAAACATTTCCAATATGTTCCAAAACCCTAAAAATAGCTGGCACAGAACCACCACAGATAACTGTCTTTATGGATATGACTTGGTGTTGGTTTTAAACACTGTGTATGATAGCAGTATAATCCTGGGGTGTATATAAACCATGTATTATTGTTGACTCCTCTCAACCACTGGCAAATTGCTACCCTACCTTAGCCAAACTCAGACTTGCTTCAAGTCATGTTTATTTCATGGAAATAGCAGAAATCGATGCCCAAAGAACGATGGTTAAAATGTCAAAGCTGCATTATCTCAATTTAATGAATTTATACTTAACTTTGAGAGGGGAAAAAACCCCAAATGAATAAAAAAATAGGTTAGAGACTAACAATCATAAGTCACAAAATTAATTGTGATTGAAATAGTGTTATAAAACCGATAACTTTGCAAAGCTCTGTAATATAAACCATTCCTTAAGTAAAATGTCTGTGACATAAATTTGACAACCTCTCTTTTTATAAATTTACACTCTTGGAACCTTATGCAAGACATGATGCAACCTTTTCGACTACACATACGCATAAACACAACCTCATGCTATCATTTACAAATAAAATCACTATTAGTATACTTTTAATCACATGAGCAGAAAAAGGTTTGCCATATACATCTGTCATTGTAAGAAAAATACTTGATATTGTAAACAGAGTAAAAGACACTATATAGTAGTGATTATTAAAAAAATAGCAGCTTACATCTACCCTATATTTGGAAAAAAATGTAGTCACAAGATACAATAAACTGCAGGACTGGAGCAGCAGGGGAATTAGTGCAAGTATTCATCTTTTAAATAAGCTGAATCACTGCTATTAAAATAAACTTGAAGCAAGTCCTCTGTTTAAGATCTTTTTTTTTAAATCTAAGGTAGTAAACATTTTGCCTCTTAATGGCAGTGTTATCAAATATATGCCAAAGATTTTATTTTAATAAAGAAAAATTACATGAAATACTTTTAATACTGGAGTTTGGTTACAATTATACATCTAAGCTCCTACAAATAATGATGGGCAACTCTCAAAGAAGCTGTGGCGTGAACCCTTGTCCAGAAAGATCTTAACCTCTTAAACAAAATCCCCCAGCTATACTTTGCTCCTTTTCACAATAGTGCACAATTTAACCATACTTTAGCTATGGTCTTAAAGCAACAGAAGATGCATTTTTCCTCTTTTATTTTTTTCTCCTTTTTTTTTGCACCCCTGTTTGTTTTATTTTTTCCTGTGTTTTTGTGCCCTTCTGTTCTTAAGTTTGGCAGAATTATGTCCCAAATAAGAAATTACTGCATTTCAGCCATGTCACCAGAAAAATCAAACATAGCATTATACCCATTTCTGTCCTGCTTTGTAGATGAGAAGGACGTGGAATATCACGCTGCAAAGAAGGATTTTTTTTTTTCTTCTCTCTCCCTAATCCCTTTTCCACCCTCCCTCTGTTCACAAAATTGTGCTCTGGGAGCCACAAAATGTACCAAACACTATCAGGTTCAAACTACCTCTTCAAAGAATGCATCAAAACATGTTTCAAAGAAACACCTTTTTTTTTTTTTCAAGGTGAAAAAATATAAACAAGAAACTAAATCACTCCCTTACTTCATGCATCCGTAAACTTAACCAAAACAAAACAGAAAACCCAATGTTTAAAAGCAAAGAAAAAAAACTACTGCTGCAGATTTCTGTAAGTCCATTTTCTCTGTACACACAAACTGCTCAACTACTGAAGGAAAACAAAAATACCCCACAAATCCACGTGAGAATGGATTTCATGGGGGAAGGGGTAATGAAGGCTGCCATTAGTATCTTCTGATTTTGGTATGTATATGGGTCTGCTCTTGTATATGGTATATTTCTCTCTCTCTCGCTCTCTTCTGTTTTTCATATCCAAAAACCTTTAAATGTTATTTTGGGGCACAGCAGATTCCAGCACTTGGTGAACAGGATTCACAAGCTGTGACAAAACTCTGTCATCCTCTTCAGGGTGTAATTTTTTTTTTCTTTCTCCTCTTTTTTTTTTTTCTCCTTTTTTTTTTTTTTTTTATATACAGTATATGTATATATTTCTTTTACATTTGGCTGTAGTGGACTGGCCATGGTTCGATTGGGACTATAGCAGTACATGGGTCAGGGACAGTCATTTTGGCTATGTACACATTCATAGTCGGTCCATGGCTTCCAACTAAGAGCGCTATTTCCGGAGGTCTAGTACACAAACCTGCAAAGAGAGAGACACACATGCAGCAGCTGCACAGCACCACGCGCTCCCACAGCTCTGGTGAAGAGTCAGAGCAAAGCCTGCCACGTGGGTTCTGTCAGCTTAAACTTGTATCTGTTATCAATGATTAAATAATATCAAAAGGACCAGGTGAGCCCTTTATGAACTAAGGGCACTGCTGCCTCCAGAATTACTATCAGAGCAGCAACAACATCTTATGTAAGCTGTTTGCCTGTTATTTAATACTGTGAGGCTGAGCACTGACTCGAATTTCATTTTATATTTTTACAGACTAGATTCAAGTACATGGACAAGTACTAAAATAGATCAGAAAAAACAGGTAACGGTGTACAAATTCCAGTTTTAGTCTTCCCAAAATCTCCACTAAGTAGTGCTGCTGGGTCTGTCAGATATAGAAATCTATTAATAAATACAACCACACACAAGATAACACCAGGTGCAAGCACATTTAAAATAGAGTGGAGAAGAAGGGCTTTTGCTAGCAAACAAGATAGAACACATTAAATCCAACATTTTTAAAAATATCAGAAACTAAATGAAAACAAATCTATTCCAAATACAATCAGCCTCTTGGGCCAAATTAATTGGAGGACTAGAAAGGTTACACAGCATGTATAAAAAGGGGTCATCTGGGGGGAGTGATAATCGATTTCTGCTCAGGATATGCCTTGGGCTTTTGTCCTTTTATGACATTGCCTATACTTACAAGACTAAAATGATATAATGACCAATCAAAATTAATTCTCTAAAATTTAGGCTTCTTAAAATCCAGAACTTCCTATTTTGTGATTTGAACTCTAACAAAACAACCTTACTTACCAGCAAGGAGCATTGAGGAGGGAATTGCTTTGGCACCTGTGTTAAGATGCCACCTGAAATTCTGCACTACTGAGCTGCCAGGATTGCTTTTTCCTGACATTTGTTAAAGGAAGCTACAGCACTTCAAAACACAATTCCCTTATCAGCCTTATTTTACTTTAATTTTACTTTTCCTTAGGCTTTCCTTTTCTTTCTTTGCAAACCGTGGTGAGACAGAGGCAAGCAAAAGCCCCAGGCCTGTGTTCCTTATGGAGACCCTGCACATTCCCATCCCACTGCAGCTCCCTGCAGGGCAGTGTCAGAGCAGCCAGGAGGTGATGCTCCAACACCCTGCAGTGAAATGACAGTGGGAGCATTCATGATTAGTTAAACATGAATTTATTCCCTGCTTTTCCTAGGCAAAGTAAGCAGACTGATATTTATATATAGCTGCTGACATTTTTAGGAACTTTTTAATTACAAGCATTTAGAAATCTGTGCTTTGTTTTGCTGTTGAATGCAATGCAGAAGGTATTTCATTCCTGTCATGCACTATAATAATATCACCTACACTGAACATCTTCCCTCGAAAAGGGCAGAGAAAGAAAAACAAATTTGTTTCCAAGCCAGCCACACTGACACAGTAGGCCCCAGAAGGAACAGAAAATATAAACTGGAGATATCTACACCTTCTGAGGTTCTTGGACTGGAATGAAGATATTCTCCTTAAAATACCACAGGAGGGTTACAGTTGAAAACCTACAGCTGAACTGGCTGCATTCAATCTTCAGCTAGAGAAGGAAATTTTGTCTCCATTGTTGGTTAAAAGATTTCCAGATGATGTTTGTTATTGGAAAACCAGCCAAGTCAAGCAACACTTACTGAACCATCTGAAGCACTTGCTCCAACTTTGTCTCCTGCTGCATTCCAGCAAACCTCAAAAATCCCTCCTGTTCCCCGATAACTGTGAACTAGGGCACCTGTCTAAAAAAGGGACAAGGCAAGTAATTAATACAACAAAATCAAAGTGAGCAAGCACAATTTGTACGTGTAAAATTTCCTCACTGTTTTTAAAAGCTAAACTTCTCAGAGGAATGTGGTCCAGAAGAGAATTGTGGACAGTCTCAGCACCTTGTTAAGGAATGTGGCACAATCATTGCATCTGAGCTCCTGTGTTTGATGGGCAAAACTGGGGAGGGTCACAACTACTTCCAATTACTAAAACAAGCCTTTCAGAAATTAATACCCAATGCCCAGTAGCCAGAGATTGCATCACGCCTGACAACAAGGTCTTTAGACTTTCAAACATAACAAGCCCTTTTTTTCTGCCAGAAATACAAAACAAGGAATAGTATCCTTTTTGAGAAAGTTTCATAAAAATACTTTGTCATCATTATCTTCCCTCACTTTGCATTCTCTTGTTTGTCAGTGAAATTCAATGAAACAGCCAGTCAGATTAGTATGTCTACACCCAGTCATCATTTTTCACAAAACCCTTGTTTTATCAAGAATTTAAAGTTCAGAGTTAACAAAGACTATTTTTGGATGAAATATGTTCTTGGAGAAACTTTTTTCAACGTGGGGTTTTGTTGGTGAGTTTTTGGTTGGGTCTTTTTGGGGTTTTTTGTCCTTTTGTTTTTGTTTTTTTTTTTTGCTAAGACAATGTAAAGACAAGTATTACCTCACCACAGGCAACCATTCAAAGAGAGAAATTAAATGTACAATCATTAAAAGAAATAATCTCAGAACAAAGAGAAAACCAGTGTGTTAGGAATGACAAAGCTCTTTGTGGCTGAAGTATAATGGATAAACAAAGGTTGGAAGGATGGAAAAGACCAAAACACAAATTCCTCTACACAGACAAGAGCAATACCTGTGTATTCCAGATGTGTACACATTTATCAAAGGAGCCACTGGCCAGGTACCTGCCATCAGGACTGAAAGCTACACTGTACACAGGTTCTTGATGTTTTGTCAGAGTATGAATACAAATTCCTCTGTCTACATCCCATAACCTAACAGTAGAATCAAAGGATGCACTGTCAAGGGAAAAAAAAAAAACAGATTTATTACATCTCAATTGAACATATTTTTGTTGCTAATACAAATAGAATATGATAAAGTATCTTACATGCTTCAAAACATTCTGTGAACTTACATTTATAGAAAGTGAGGTAAAAATAATGTTTAACAAGCATTTAAAACCAGGATTAAATAGTACCTTGCTAACATAAGATTGGCATTTGGATTATTTGTTCCTGGTCCTGTAGGACTCCATTTGATAGTATAAATTTCTTTGTTGTGTGCTTGTAAATCATGGACACAACTGTCTTGTTTCATACTCCAGATCTATGATAAAAAGGGAGGAAAACACAAATAAGTTAGCACAATATTGTATTAAAATACATGTTTCATGTTTTACATGTTTCTCCTGTATCATTTCCAGACTGACTGTTATCTTTTAGGCCACTCAAAACATTTGCTACAATTGTTGGGTTTCTAGAGTAATTATGCCAAGTTTTATTCCAGGACCTTTCATTCTCTAAGTCCCCAGAGAGGTGAATTAATAATAACGGTGCTGCCTGTAGAAACCAAACTGCCTGAGTGAACTGCAAACCCCTTGAAAAGTGCAGGGATGAGAGCAGATGCTGAAATGAGAAGAGCAGTACGTAAATGTTCATGTCTGAGTCGATAAAATATCACGGTCCTATTTTTAAATGAACTTCTTGCTACACAGACTGAGTGAAATAAAGGGATAGTAGAGACATTTTCTGTTTTCATACAAATCCAGAGACACAAATACCACTATGGCATTTTCCTGACATATTAGTATTTGCATTGCCAGATTTCAGTGTTCAGTGCTTCAAAGAGTTCATTAGAGGACTCCAACTCCTGTATGATCACGCCCAACAAACAAAATAACTTTATTCTATTAAGAGTTTATATGGCTTCTACAGAAGGGATTTGGGAAGGCTTTTATATGGCAGAAATTTTAAAGGGTAGATAACCACCTGAATGCTATTTTTAATAATATCTGTCTCAATAATGCTTTTTGTTGGGAAAAGCTACCAGGAGCATGTTTAAACACAACCATGTTAAGCTGCAATTGAGGTGCATGTCTAAACAAATGGTGCTTTTCAGAACTGCTGCTTTGCTGAAGAGGAAATTGATTTCCAATGTGCAGACAGAACTGAAATTGTATTTCCAGTTTAATTGATGGGATCAAAATCTAGCCTCTCTTCCCAAAACTAGCATAGATGAAAGAGTCTGTATCAGCTGCCCTAGAGAATGTTAAGCTGTAGATAGGAACTGGCCAAGTAAATAAATCACTAGGCACCTTCCATGTGCTTCCAAACCTGGTATTTATTCCTTCTGCCATTGAAAAGTAAGTGATCCACAAGTGATTAGTGATGCGTAGACTTAGCCTCCAGCATGTGGCTTTTGAGCTAATCCTGAACAAAATAGTAACATTCTTTCCAGCCTGGGCTCCATTTGAAACAGCCACCAAGAAGTTAATTGCTTGAATCCCACAAATGCTGACACATTCCCAGTTGTCACCTCTACTCATGGAGAGGCAGCAGCAACAGCAGCTCAAGCTCCAGACTGGAATTCATCACCCTGGACTTTTAGCTGTTTAAGTATTAAATACCTGGCTTAAGCTGGCTATTTTGACTCCATGCACTGCCAGTGGAGAACAACTGATGCTCTCAGGGGATTCCTCATCACACTTAAGACACTTAGGAAAGGATAACTTGCTCTTCAGCAGTGCTAGACACTGCTGACTGGAGATGTCTAGACATCCAGCTTTAGACTGGAGGCTTAATGCTTAAGTGTTTGTATTTAGATAAGGTGATTTCCCCTGCCAGAGCCTGACCGTGTGCCAGCAGGAGGGATATGTGGCTACTCATTCAGCCATTCCCTGATTAAACAGCAGTGAGCTGCATGGAATTAACTGTCCCAAGGGTTACTGGCAGGACAGTGCTGTCCATGTAAAAAAGGTATCCTGAAATTCTACCAAGCACAGGGCTGAAGGTCCCAGTGAATATAAAGCATGTGTACCATGGAAGCAGCACAGGCCTGTCAGGCATGAACAACCTCATTTCTGCTGGTGGCAGGTTTGTAGGGATCTCTAGAGTGCCCTGAAGTCACATGTGTAAGCTGCAGTGTCCTCTGCACTCACAAGTTTGCCCCTGTTCTACAAGAAAGCACATAGCTGAGAATCACTTGGAGGACAAGTGTAGGTGTGACTGAAAACCGCAGAATGACTCCTGATGAACTGGAAAAATCCAGGCCAGCACATGGCCTCTGAAGAAACAACATGCCAAAGATTTTAACTAGAAAGAAAGGGAAAGCAGAAGAAAACCAGGAAAGGAGCAAGTCACCCATTCTTGAATGTGCTACCTGACATGCATTCCAAATTTTTTCTTTCAACCAAAAGCAACCATCAAGCGTGACAGTTTAATGATTAATGACCTGATTCTGTGAACAGCTAAAAGCACCTAATAAATCATGCTCCAAGTCTCAGGCTGGCAGCCTGTAACAAGTCCTCTGGACCAAAGCTTGGCCCTGATTAACAAGGATTTCTAGGATTGCCTAACCTTGTTATATTAAAAAAGAATGAATATAGGGCAACACAGCAAGTACAGTGATAGTGCTGGAATGTCCAGGCTAATGGAGTGTATTCCAGAGTCTACAAAGACAAAGCCCAGCCCCAGAACTCCCATTACCTTTAGAGTCATGTCGTCAGAGCAGGATGCCAGCAGATTACCAGTTGGATCCCATTTGATTGCATTTACTTCATTCTAAAAGTGAACAAAGAGAGTAAGTTGGAGTCTTCCCTTCCATTACAAAATGAGCTTACAAAAGATAAAGCTGGACAGCAGTTATGAATATTTGCATAATTGCCAGGATTTTAACACTTAATTTTTATTCATAGCTTTGCCTTCAATAACAACTAACAGCTTTTTGCTATCTATTTATCACATTTCCCATGCATTCCTGTACACCACCTGGCAAAGTCTTGAAGTTATCATGCTTCTTCTCCTAAAGCTCACTCCTGCATCCTGACACTGGTAAAACAAGCTGCACAAGGGGGTGAAAATTGTTCTGAACACAAAGATTGTAATTGCCATAAGTCCTTAACCATAACTACCTATGTGTGCATCTACTGCCTGTAGCCAATTACCCAAGTTCTGGGTATTGGTAAATTTACTGAGCCCCCAATCTCTAACTAATAAAAATATCACAGAGCAACCCCCTTTTTGCAGTACTTACTGTGTGACCCTGGAAGGTTTTGATGGGCCTATCTTGTCCTAGTTTACAAACGTGAATACACATGTCTGTACTGCAAGAGGCAAATGTGTTGTTACTCTGCCAATCAACATCTAATGCTGGTGCTAAAATAAAAAGAAAGATATTTAATACTATAGTACACACTCTGCAGGAATTTGATATACAAATTTAGCATGCACCACCTTGGAACAAAAGCCAACAGGAAGCAATCATTAACTTTACAGCTGTTCTGAAGATAAACACTATGAACAGTAAGAAATGCAGCTAAAACAAGTCTTACACAAAATGGAACAAATTTAATATAAGTCATCATAATATGGAACATATTAGAAATCAAAGCTATACAGAAGACAGTGCAGCAGGACATCAAGCTGTAGTTAAGTCATCTATAAAAAAATCTCAGGAGTCAGCACAAGAACAGGCTCCCACAACTTCACACATCATCATGCATGAGCTCATCTGCACCAGCAGCTCCTGCTCACCGATGGGTGAGGATTTATTTCCTTTCTTAATTCCAGCATTGTAAGGTGTGGCAACTCGAAGCTTGATCATGGGCAACATGTTCCACTTGATCAAGCCAGCTATTTATGGCAGATAGCACAGAGAGAACTGCTTGGAGTAAATGCTGAGTTGATGTTTCTGACTGCTGTCATGGCTCTGGAAATGTGGCGCCGGAGGAATAAGGAGTGGGAACGAGACATGTTTCTTAAAGGCCCTTCAATGACATGTCTGCCATCCTCTCCATTCTGCCTTCCAGCTGACTCTGGCAGGATTGCTCAGCATGCAGCCCACAAGGCAATTTGTCTGACCTCCTGCACTCCCAGCCCAGCTGGCCAGTGAATGCTCTCAGCTGGTTTGTGGCCAAACAACGCAGGGACAGGGGAACAATGGGATAGGGGGTGGATCTCTGCAGCAGCAGGATGAGAAATGCAGTCCTTAGGTGATAAACACTAATCCCTGTGGCCTGCCCACATGATTTGTCTGCGTCAGCTGGTTTGTGGCCAAACAACCCAGGGACAAGGGAACAATGGGATACAGGGTGGGATCTCTGCAGCAGCAGGATGAGAAATGCAGTCCTTAGGTGATAAACACTAATCCCTGTGGCCTGCCCACATGATTTGTCTGCCAGCATACTACAGAAAGTCAGGAATACGTGGATTATTTATCTCCTGTGACTTTGTTGGAACTGCAATAAAACTGTGAGTTATAAAATCAGAACAAATCCATCTTTGTTTACATTCTCAATGTTCCAATACGGGACTATAAGTAACCAAAGACTACCTGTAAGATTTTTAAATTATGCAACTAAGCACCACAAACATCAGATTTTTTAATTTATTTAAAATTTTGTCTTTTCAGATAACAAATCTGAATGATGAAATCAAGACTTACCAGAATGAAAAGGAAACTGCTGCTTGGCTTCGCCAGTGTGGGCATCCCAAATAATTGTGGTCTGTGTTAAACAGATAAATTAACAATAAAAAAACTTGTACAAATTGCTGATTTCCCCACAACTACCACCACTCACAAGTATGAGAATACCTACCCTGCTCACCATCACCCAAACCTGCTCTTGATTATACATTTCTAGAGTTTGATCCAGTACTAAAAGAAATAGTAGTAGATGTACAGAAAACAGTAGAAAACTTAAGATTGCATTAGAAAGATGTTTAGCCACAACATTTTGGGGTCTAGAGGGAAGAAGGAATTTGTGGGCTTTTAAACAGTTTTATCCCCATAGTCCTATTTATATTCTCATTATCCATTCCACACACCTATTTTAATTTCAGATACTTGTATATTCAAATTGTACTATCAGTTACTCACTTGTTCCTAAGGAGATGCTATTAACAGTTAGTCACATACTGAAAAATTTAAGGGTGTAATTTCAGTCTATGTTGTTCTCTGCCAATACTTTCATAACCTTCTGGTTAAAGAAACCTTACATGACAAAATCAGTACCTTATATGCTAATATCCCTGCCCTACCTCAATGACCAATGAAAATTTTGACAGCAAATTCAATGGAAGCATGAATTGACCACACAAAATAACTATGGAAAAGGAGCCTAAGGTTGGATCCTTCTCTCTGCTAAAGCAGAATATTTTCCAAAGCATAATCTCAGTTTTTCTGAGAAGTTTTATTGACTGAAACAAGGTTTCTAGTTCTTCCTTAATTATTTTCCTGCAAATGAAAGCTGTACCTCCACAAATATTTAAAAACTGGCATAACTATCACAGATGCCAAAGAGTAAACACATCCTTTCCATATTTTGAGACATTAAATTTTCCTTCCTTTGTGCCAGCACAAGCATTTATAAAGCTGGCTAATAAAGCAAACCAAGTACATGAATGCAGGGGAAAAAAAACTAAATAAAGGAGAAAATTTACTACTTTACAGTGACACTGCCAGTTTTAAGAGGTTGTAATGAGGTTGCAGTTTGCCACTCTAAGAGAGAACCTGTGCTGACTTCTGCACCTTGAATCGGTTACAGAGGAAAAAATCAACTCTCCTTACTCTTGCTATAGTCTATTTGATTCTCTGAATTCACTTTAAGTACATTTCCCTTCACTCTGTGCCCTTCCTACCACTCATACATAAAACCTCTCACACTAACAACAGCTCTAAGCTGAAAGACCTTGTAAAGCTGACTTTGTTTAGAGATGTGAAATAAAACCCAGACAAACAATAAGCTCCGTGGCATTACACAGCTGGCACCTCCCCAGTCACATATATCAACTCCCCTTATGTTCCAGCTCTAATCTTTACAATCATTCTCAGCTTTGACTGATATCCAACTCAGCCTTGACCTACCCCTCTAGCAGAATTGTTTTCCTAAGGCTTTGCTTGAAGTGCTTCACTGAATTTAGATGGTTTAGTTTTACAAAGGTTTAATGTTTCTGGTTTCAATACACTGCAATCTAGGAAATTAAAATGTCTCAATAAACTACTATAAAAACCAAGGAAACACAGCTAAGCATAACAAGATCTTTGTAAGCACATATTTACATCCCATGCCTTTAGTTTAATTTACTTACTTTGCATAGTTTTGCTATTTTGCTTACAGTTAGATTATAACGGTGAAGGAAAGAATTTTAATTTTACCAAAGATTATCTCACCTTGTCCACTCCTGCACTTAAAATGAAGTTTCCTTTCTTGTTCCATTTTAACGCAAATATAGGACCTTTATGTTGCCCTAAGGTGCTGGCAAGATTACCTGAAAATTTATATTGATATGAATACATTAAAAAATAAAAAACTATGCCGTGAGCCACAATATAGGAAAATATATCGTAAATTAAAAAAGTATTTTGCTTACCATCTTTAGTCCATATCCTCGCAAAGCCATCATAAGACCCAGTTGCTAGAAGTGTACCTTCACTCTGCCAGCAAAAAGGTTATTTATTTATTTATTTATTTCTACTTAATTCAAAACTAAAAGCACAAAGCAAATTTGAGGTAGAATAGATGGGAATAGGATTTATGACATTTTATTGACTGAAAGTTTTTAGAAAGAAGTTCCTGAAGTGTAACAGAAGTTACAACGCTGATCAAAACAGAAATATTTCAGGTGCTGCCACAGAGGCCAGCGCTGCTGTCACCTAAGGGGTGACCATGAGGTGCCGTAGGCAGGGCTTTCCCGGGAGCACTGGGAGCGCTGCCACGGGCACTTACGTTCCAGTCCAGCGAGGTGACGTCCTTGTTGCTGGGCACATCCTGCCCCCCTTCCCGGATGCAGTGCCGCAGCACCAGCTGCGTGGAGCCGCTCGTGCTGTTCTCGCTCAGGTTCCAGATCCGCGCTGTCGAATCGCCAGACCTGCAGGACACCCCGTGGGGACAGAAATCCTGCTGCTCACACGTGGGCCATCCCGCTCGTTCCATGTGCACATGCACATGGATCAGTGTAATGGCAGTCTGTAGTGTTATATAACGTGCAATATACCATAGACCAGTAATATACTGTAACAATGTATGACATTATAATATATGGGATGTGAAAGAATAGATAATATGTATTACACTTATATATAGTTACACAAACCACTATATATAGTTATTAATATATATTACATATACTCATATTTACATTTTATATGTATTACACATACATTATAGAAATATATTTATGTACATATATGTATTATATATATTACATATACATATATCTACATAGTATGTAATATAAAATATATAATATGATATATATGACACATGCTACACAATATATATGCTATGTGATGTATATTACAGTATTTATTGATTACATAATAATTATACTTATATATTTTTACATTATAACTGTATTTTATAGTCTATTAATTGATTATTAATTAGTATTAGATATTGATTATATATTAATTAATTGATTTCATATAAATAAATAAATAATAATACATTCAATTTTAAAGCACTGTTCTCTAAAGAACAAATGCTGTGGCATTTTGATGTTTGGGGAAGATGTTCCCTGAGCTTTCTGCCCTTCCCGTGTACCATCATCACCAATAATAGCAATAATGATAATGATAATAATAATCTCCAATTAAAAGTGCTATTTTCCACACAGCACTGTGCCATCTGATGCTTGGGGTAGGTGTTCCCTGAGCCTGCTGCCCTGCCCAGGCAGCAGCAGTGTGCCCCAGCACAGACACAGACAGTGCACGTACCCTGAGGCCAAAAGGTCACTAACGGGATTCCAGGCACAGATGAACACCTCGGACTCGTGGCCACGCAGCACCACTGCCTTGTTGGGAGGGATTTCCACATCTCCATCTACTTCCATCATATCCGTGTGATTATCTGCATTATGGGAAACAACAGTACAGAGAGGCGGATTTTAGTATTTTGGGATGTTGTGACTCCTGTACGTTTCACATTCTTCTGCCATGAGTGCAAAAATTCACAATTTATGCGATTCAAAAATTTGACAGATCTGTCATGCTCTTTTATTTTTTCAGTTCCAATTAATGAAGCACTATAAACAGATGGGGAGTTTCGAAAATGTGAGAAAACTCTTCGCCCCTGTAAACCTTCACATCCAAATGGATTTAAATTTGGAGCTTCAGAATTAGGGCCAAAAAGTTAATTTTTCGCTATGCTAAAAAATAAGTGCTGTTACAAGTACTCTGTTTTTCAGGCCCAATACTGCATAGTACAATATGTTACTAGTCTAGCTTGTGCTGTAGGAATACATTTATGACATATTCCTTTTCAAAAATCTTTTTCACCAATTGCAGTCAAACAGGTTTTAAATCTACATCTCCAACACTCCATTTACGAAATGCCTTTAATGAATATAATCACATTTGGTGATAGAGTTAACATAACCAAGCTTCTCCAACTTCATCAGCAATTGCCGTGGAATTATGGCAGTGTAACTTTCTGCATGGAAGTGAGACTGAAACCATATTGTTCTGTAGAACGTACTGGGGGTAATTCAACTGACAAAACAGTTTTCTTGGCATCTACCATCAATCATTTTCTGTTATTAAAACTAAATTCATAATGAGTGCAAATGCAGAATGTAAGGAATGCTGCACAGTTCACCTGCTCCATATTTATTCACTGCGGTTAAAGAAATCATTTCACAGCTATTGCTTAATTTAGCATTAAGGGTTTCTGTCACTGTTTGTGCATGTGAGAAAATAGAAAAGGCTATTAAAACATGAGTATTTTTTCAGAAAGAGCACCATATAAAGCATTGCTTCAGTCAAAGGATCGATGCCAGTCTGAAGTGCTGTACAGCCAGCAGGGGTTGCTGGTAGATCACATTTAACAGGGCTGAGATCTCAGGTCTACCCTTCCTCTATCCAGTTCACAGTTTTCAAGTAAATACTCATTTGAGATTTTTAAATTAAAGAATCAAAGTAGAGACCTTATTTGTTTCAGCCAAAGAATGTATTCCTAGCTTTTTATCACATATACTAATGAAAAACCTAGTAAAATCAGGCTGTAAAACTTGTACATGGCTTAATATTAATATTCTCTCAAAAATGTCATTTCGTCAGGTGTTTTGACAGAAAGAACTGTAACTCCTACACTTAAACATGCAATTCAGACTTCCAGAAGAGTATTTTCGAAATCACAGTTTAATGCCTGACCCAAACTTTTCCATACTAAGCCTCATTGTAAGATATGTTCCTTTGACCAGTGATGACAAACATACCCCATTTATTTCACCAACCACAGCTAAAATGGTATTCATGAATAAAGCAAACCTGAGAGCAGTTGCACTGAGCAATTTTGACTAGCAAATAGTGAAACCTGATATTGATAAAAGAGACAAGGGACACAGGGCTCGTCCCAGCAACCTTGAACTCAGTATCACTAGAAAAGCCAGGCACAGCTCTTGGATCCATGGGTTTTACAGAACTTTTTGGAAGGAGTTTGCAGAGCTTCAAAAGCAATACTCAGTTTTAACCTGCCATGGACTGGACTCTGCTCAGGAATTACTCAATTTTTTTCCTTTTTATGCAAGGGCCCTGTGAAAAACCTTCAGGTGATGGAAAAGAAGTAGTACTGGAAGTGAGACCAGCCAAGGGAATATTGTGAATTAATAAATTCAGAACTTTGACTCCTGCAACCCCAGATATCAAAACTGGGGACAACCAAAGGTGAGACACAATCTGTTCAAGTATGACCCGTGATGAAGGAATTCTCTGCAAGTTGAAGGGTTACTCCAAACTCTACATTTTTACCTCATTGTCTACAAGCTCATACAATGGTAAACAACTAGGAAATGCTAACCCAGCTTAAAGCAATTTCTGTCTCAACTTACTTGCTATAGTGTGTGCTCCGTTCTCCTCTCCATTTGCAGTATTTTCTCCATTTTTCGCTGATCCCTGTTGGTTGGTGGTGGCTGCAGCTGCAGCAGCTGCTGCCTGCTGTTGTGCAAGTTTGTCTCTGTAGGCCTGTTGTCTTGTCTGTACCACATCAGGCATCACTGCATCTATCAGTGAGAGAGACTCTATCGGCCTACCATCAAACAAGGTACCATCCTAAATTACAGCACAGGGAGAAAAAAAAAAAAAAAAAGATAACACCAAGTACAAATTAACATTACAGGCAAAAATTCCAAGCAAAACTGAAGAAAACATTTTGATTTAATATAACAAAGCAGTCTACATATGGTGCTGGAAGTGATTTATCACCATTGCTGTGGTCAGGACTGGAATTTTAGTCTGAAGTTAATTGGTCACCATAAATATGCAAAAAAAGCCACTGCAGGCCTCTGGGAGAGCCTGTGGAATCAAAAGTTTCTTGTTTCGAGTTTGCTGAATTGTCTGCTAAAGCAAAAAATTCTGTAAGCTAGCTATGAATATGATTTCAAACATGAGTGGCTGCAGCAAAATCTAATGGTTTGTTTGAAGAGAGAGTTGCAAACATTGCAACTCGGGTCACTGACTTGTGAAGTTATAGTCTTATTAGACTAATACTTTCCATAAACATATTATCTGGGGAGTTGACTAGTTTTCTTCCTTTTTTTAAACTGTGCTGGCATGCTTTCAAACAACAAGGAAGAATTTTATCCTGAAATGGACAAGACCCAGTTAAAAATACCCTTATACATATGCTAGGGCTTTGTAAGGATCTATTTTTAGGGACTAGAAGGATTCCTTGTAATAAATATAGGGTCTTCTTCTTCTATTCCTATCACTTGCTTTATTTTTCTGAGGCTTCCTAAGGGAAAGGATTTGCTTCACTAGGACTGTGAAAACCACACAAACAGCAGGCATAAGGGAGACTGGAAAGTGAGCAGAATTAATGGGAAAAAAAAAGGTTTCTTCAGTAATCTGACTGACACACAGAAAGGCTTCTCACCTTCCAGGAACAAATGAGAATGGAAATTGAGGGAGAGTGTCTGCAGCATCAGGCAGGAAGATACATAGTACTGCTGGAATAACCATTTAAATATCAAATTTAACAGATCCTGCTCAAGATGAATTAGCCAGCAGAGGCAAAAGGCAAACTGGCATATACCTTCAACCTTCCTGCCACAAATTCAAACCCCCTCTCTCCTTGGAAATCTTGCCTTTGGGCTCACATTACTTCACTGTGATGACACAAGAGCCCAAACAAGAGCTGCACAGTGCTCTCCCATCTCCCTAGTGCCAGTGTACAAACCAAAAAATTAAGAGATTGACGCTCTCCATTATTATCCTATTGCACTAGATGCACTACAACATTAGAAGAGGGTGAAAACTCTGCAGACAATGGATCTTCAAGCAAAGAGCCAGAACACCATGCCTGGTGTTGAGTGGCTGCACTGGGCAAAACCCCACCCAGTTATGTCACTCCACTCTGGTTCCACCACTAGAGTCATGGTGAACACCAGCAGTAAGTAAGGAATATGAAGTAAAAGTAAAAAGGATACAAGAAAGTTAAGAAAAAATACTAACATTCAAACTTAGCGCAAGCAAGGACACAGCACTCCTGCAGGCAAAGCCTCCTTACCTCATTAATACTGACTTCTGCCTCTACATACTGCAGACCTTTCTGGATGATGGAAATCAAAGCAGCTGGTGGCACCAGAGCACCATTTATATTAGACTGGCTGATATGGCTCTCTATACCAAAGGTAAATGCTGAATGGGAAAACCCTAAAACAAGGCAAAGACATCAGAATTTATTTACAGATAAACAATGCTACTTGCTGTGCCATGGTAGGACCTTCTGTTTAACACCTGAGCAAATTACACAAAGCATAATGCTACAGCATACTTCTGAACTACCAAAAACTTGTCAAAACACCTCAATTCCCTCACAGTTTAAGTGTACAAAAAGAGAAAAGCGAAGTTCATATATAAACACAACAATTATTAATTACAGTATCAATGGCAAAAAATTTATGCACGAGTCAGTATAAAGTACAAAATTCACTATAGCATTTAAAAGTGTTCATATACTCACAAACTACATGTAAGTATCGTATGATATGTAGTATTTAATAAAAAATATATATTTCTCCAAGACACAAGACTCACTTGCTATTTTCACTCACTGATTTGATACCCATGAAAGTTAAATGGATCTGTATGTGAACAGAATTCAGATCATAGTGCCATAATTGTATATGCTCTGGCATTTAGAGCTACATCAGCACTGTGCACTGAGTAAGAAGTGGCAAACATGTTATGGTGCAGCAATGGTAGCTGCTTGCTATTTATTTGATCACTTTGAAAAAACTGAATTTAAGCTAGAGAAAAATAGTTGTTTCAGCAAGTTAACTATTGTCATGGCATTTTTTCTTAAACCACTTTATTTATTTTTTTTTTCTTTTTCCCTGTCAGGTAAGCAAGAAGCTGACTGCAAACTTTCAAATGAAGATGAAGCAATTTTGTAAGTTTGGCTTCTATGACAAAAGCAATCTGCAACTGGAATAAGAGCGTGTAGTAGTTTTCAGTAAATTCAGGCAGAAAAATGAGGTTTTGCTTTCTTCTGACAAGCAGAAACTGTAAAAGTCTGTCATCCACCATTGCTTCTGGAGCTTCTCTCCTTAATTTGGGAAGTCCAGGAGCAGTGGACATACGTTGCATCAGCCAAATGCATTTCCAACAAGCCTGAAGCCACCCATCAGCAATCACTAAACAAAAACTACAAATCAATAAAGATTGAAATAGCAAGGTAAAATATGAAATATATGTGCATATTTTCTTATATATCTATATGTATATACATTAAAGCTGATCTCTTAAACTCCAGTCTTAAGATAAAAGTGTATTTTTGCTTTAATATGCAGACTTCTTTTATGTATTGCTGAAATCATATTCCCTCCTGCCAGCTGACAATCATCACTTGTTCATTTACTGGGGCATGCCCTGACTTCCAGTCAGATCTTCCCATTCTAAATGTAGGTTGTGTTAAGCAATCAATATCACAGTTGTGAGTAAAAGATGATGTTGTCTCTTACAGAGCTTCACGAATAACCACCACCACAAAACTCCCTGAAGCCATATGGCTGCATCTAGGAACCCAAACATGCAACACAAACTCAAACTGCTGATCTGACTGGGCTGGGGAAGCTTTAAAAATAAGGGAGCACTGCTGCATTCTCGTGTTGTGCAGACACAGTGTGAAGGGATATGATAGGAAAAGGGTTTCCTTTCAAGTCTGACAATATTCAAGTGTCTTTTGCTCTTTCTCCTAAGAAGCAGGAGATCCTGGCTACTCAGAAAGATCCTCCAAAAGAAGGTCCTGGAGGGATGGAGGCTTTTGGGAACCTCAAGGGTTATTCCTGCAAAAAATCTGTTCACCTCTATTTAGAGTCAAGTGATACAAGTCATAGTCACAGCTGTCACTTCTTCCTTTGAAACACAGCCACATCTGCCCTCCCACAGTCAGGTTCAGGCAAGGAATTCAGCTGCACAAGACCAGCTGGCAGGAGCACCATCACTCCAAAACAACAGGAAAAACCAGCATTTTGCTGATCTTTCTATTTTCTTCTTCAAGGAGCCCTGAAGAAAACGGTGCAAAGTGCCATCATCACCCTGTGGAGAAGTGATCTCCAGGAAAATGCATTTTAGCAACCAAGTGAGTCCTTGGCTGCTTGACTGCCATCCGAAGACTCCAAATGACTAAAGCTGATTAAGTTACAGAAGGTAACTTGGCAGGAATTCACTCTCTTGTTGAGAAGAAACACCAAGAAACAGTTCAGACAGAATCCATGCCTACTGGCAAAATAATTAAATGAGCCTGTGTTTGCTAAAGCCAGTTGCAGATCAAGATCAAATAAATTATGCATTGTTTAATAACCAGAATTGTAAAAACTCACCTGACTCTTGCAAGTATCTATATACCAGGAAGTTAACCTCATCACTGCTTATACTCATCTTTATTCCCAGTTAAACCATGAGGTCACAACAAAGGACACAACCCTGCAAATAATAAAAAAAAAAAGTAGGTCAATTAAATATTTTTAGTACCTAATAGGTATTTCCCAACAAATGCTATATTTATAAAGTAAGTAGCTCCCTGGCAACCTAGACAATGGCTTCATTTTATAATGCAACTAAGTCTGCTGGAGTCATTAAAAAGTCATTTGTCTCACCACAAAATAAAGGTCAGTAAATTAAATATTAACGGGCTGGATTCTCATATGATGCAAGTTGGTATGGACTGGGGAACTCTGCTGTTTAATACTAAAAGTACTAAAAAAGGCGTCCTATCACAGGTTTTAAAAAATAACCAAGTTTCATCCAATCTACATGACTGCCATGGAACACATTTTTTATAACATGAGTCTCTCTCTGCCTGGTTAACAAAGACCAAAAACTTCGTTTCAATTGACATCCAGGCAGGTTCTCACTTTTACATTCTTATCTACTCCAATTTTCAGGTGTTCCTGCTCTAAGAAAAGGTGCAGAACAGAATGAGCTACAACATTGTCTGTTCAAACAAGCCCAGCCTACCCCACCAAAGATTAGAAAACATCTCAGCCATACCTTTTGGCTTTGCAACTGGAATACTTGACATTAGAAACAAACTTTAAACTTTAGTAACGTTTCCCTAGGGTTTCAATCAGTGCTTCAAAAATATTGATGGGATATATATATTTACACACAATTTTTTTTAGAAAGACAAATCATGTATCAGACTATATATACTTTTGATCATAAACTTGGAAAATATAAGGCAGCAGCAATCTTTAAGACATGAAGAGACAGAATGCAGTGTTTTTTCTAATCCGAAGTCTCATTTTTGAGAACATTCTCATGATGTCTGAATGTTTGAAAACTCTGACCTTTCCAAGTAAACAAGTGAAAACATCAGCTTTCAGAACATGTTATGAAATAATGTCCACCTCCTGTTCCAATTATCTGTCCAGCACTTTCCATCAGCAAACCTTCCCAGGTTTTTACCCAGCTGACCACCACCATTGCTTTTCCTACAGAACTGGAGTCTGAGAAGGCAAAGTGACTTTCCTACTGTTACTTGACAAAGTTTTACCTGGAATCTGATGCAAAAAAGTACTAGAGAGTGACATTTCCTACAACAGGGCTCCTGCCACATGGCTGCATGGACAGGCCACTTGCCACTGCTGCTCCAGTGGGGAAGTGTTGGACACAAGATCCAATTAAACACCTCAAGAAGAGCAGAGGCTAAAGGATTAACTTGGGTACGAAAATGAATTTATTTGCCTGAAACCACACACAGAAATCCCCAAACCTGCCCCAGGCACGTGGTCACCCAGCTCACAGCCAGGCTGTGGGGGGAGATGGCTTTAGTTTCTTAAGGAAAAATATAAAATTTCAGTTCTACTTAAATCCTTTTCATTTCTAAAGGAAAAAGCTGCCCCAGGACAATGACTTCTAGTAAGTGCAACAGGACTGGTACAGGAATGTACATTGATACCAACCCTACCCACCTCTCCACAGCCCCAGCCACACCTGAAGAACAAGATATCACTGTCAAATTTCACTATATACTTTGAGGACTTGTTTACTGAGCAGAATGTAAAATAAATGGCATTTTTAGCCATTTCATGCATTAGCAGCCAATTCCAGCATGTGCAGGACCAAAAACTGATTTTATTTAGCTAAGTTTTGTTACCATACACGAAGCAAATTATCTTTAAGATTGTTTTTAACAGAAAAATGCTGTAGGAAGAGGAACAATATTTTCCTTCAGAGGAGAAGGCAATTAACTTTAAAGAGACTCATAAAGCAGGTTTTTTTATATTACGTACACACACACAAATGACAGTGTTTGTTTCATGGGTCTGTCACAGAGTTTCAAAATCTTGCTGCATCACCAAAAACGATAGATCAAACCACAGAAATCGGATGAAAGTGCTATTTGTCACACAGAGAGGTCCTGAATTATTTATATAAAGAGGGCTCCCCCCTCAAAGCAGAACCGTGCAGGTGCCACATCAATTCACCTGTTATGTAGCTGGGTAGCTGAAGGGAAAAAAAAACAAAACCCAACGTTTTGCTTGTCTGTCAAAAGTGTTCTGCACCCCAGATGAATCAAAGCAGCCTCATTTTTCCAAGGCTGGTTCCGAGTGTTTTGCACAAGCAGCTCTGGTCCTGCCCAGCCATCAGGAGGTGGCACTGCAGCACCAGCTGTGGCACCCTGGCCACCAGAAAAACACAGAAACAGCCCCAATAAACACAGTTTGCCTGGTGAGTGGTTTGAAACTGGAAAGGGTGCAAAAGGTTCCAGTGTTTTAACAAAATACTGCTTTGCACATATTTTCAGTGCTCTGGAAGGGTTTTTCTGTGTTTCCCCCACCCCAGGCCCCGTGGCTCGGGCAGAGCCTGGGGACAGCATCCCACAGCCAAGTGACACAAGAAATGTCAGAAGGAGGAGCAGGAGCAAGCCACCTTCCTTCCAACACAAAGCAAAATGTCATGTTAAAGAGAAAATGCAGTAGAAGAAGATACAATAATTATTTCCCTGTGACACATTCTGAATTAACACCAGGCTTACACTGCCCACTCTCACATTGTTTGTGACAACGGACCCATGCATATACGTGTGTACCCCACATCCTAAAAAAATTACTTCATCAATGCTGGCTAATTCCCCCCAGATTCACTATTTTCACAAGCAATCAACTACACATTTTGGACACTTTAATAGATATTAATATTGCTCTTCATTTTATATGCAGAAATTAAATCACCAAAGAGACACATAAAAATGAGACAAAAATAAGAAGTTAACACGTAATTCCTAACAGTCTTAGATTTGCAGCCTAATTTGTATGGGGACAATTATAATATCTTAAAATATTTGCAGCTTTATGCCCCAAACCCATTCTAAAAATGTAATGAGATCCTTAAGGACCTTTTTCTTTCTTGCCCTTAGAAACATTCCAGGTCTTCCTCAAAACATTCTGAGGAATTACATGGTAAAGTATGATGCACCCACACTGCTGTTTTAGATCCAATTATACTTTTAAAGGAAATCTCTCCCACTTGCCTCTACTTTTGTTTTGCACCCTGGAGCAGGCACAGCACATGTGAAGCTGATCCCTCACTGGTAAAACCAGGATTAAATAAATAAATAAAATACCCCAGGACAGGTAAAAAAATGATGGGCATGAGAGCTTATGAACAATGCTCAAATTGCTCATGGGACCACACCAGGGTCGATATTCCCTGCTCAAAAGCAAGTCCATTTCAGCAGTCCTCTTCCCAGGTTTTATTTCCCTTCCCAGAGGATGGGCCTGTAGTTTGTAACACCACTGCTCAGTTACAATCAGCACAACATCCAGATATCTCAGGTAATTTTTAAGACTGCTACAGAAAGTCCCTGAAGTCCCAAAATTTATCAGGCATAACACATATCAGCCATAAAAGCCAACTGTCTATAGAGATGCTAGCCTTGAGATTTACTCAGTGACAGGTCAGAAGCAGACAAGACACACACCTGTGCTTTAGACAAACTGACCCGCTCATTCCATGCCAGGAATCACACAAAAAATTCATTTGGAAGCTACTTTTTCCAAAGGAAACTAGGTTTCTCATCCCAGAGACAACACCAGCTCTGGCTTTGCTCCCAGCCTGGCAGAAGTGTGTCTGTGTTTCTGTGCCCAAGGCAGATGGGGCAGGTCCCACCCCAGCACCTCTGTCCCTTGAGTACCATTCACACACTTCATACCTGGGACAAAATTTACAACTAAAACCCATTAAAAAGGAGATAGAATTCCACTCTCACCAACACCAGGTCTAATCAGTGCCCAACCGTGCAAACCTGGCTGTGCTTCTGACAAATCATTATTCCACTCCACATGTTTGTGCTAGCTTTGTACTCCTTGTCCAGGCTCATGCCCAATGCTGGAGAACAGATGCCACCCGATATGGCTCCTGGCCTAATAGGTTTTTTGGCTGTTTAGGGGTTTTTTTCAGACAAACCCAAACTGGCAGAGAAAGTTTATACATCAGATTATTACTGGGTATCTCTTAATCACCATTTGATAATGTATACTGGAGTTACACTACAATTAGAGTTATTTTATCATCAAATAACAGCCTAAGAAAGTGATATTTCTGCAGTTGTAGGTGGGCTCCAACATTCCCAATAGGTAGGGTAACAGGAAAACCTGACAGGCTGCTGTGAATAATAAAACATACCAATCATTAAAACATACCAATCATTAGTTTGATAACAAATATGATATGTTAAAGGGAGCAGCTAATGCTCTGGGTAGCTCTGATGAATGCTTAATGTTCAGACATAAACACACATTTATCCATGGAAAACAGAACTCTGGCTACAGAAACAATAATAGCCCTACAACAGAAATATTGCCATTAGGGCTTTTATTTTTTCCTCTTTTGCAAGAAATCCAGACAAGTATTTTGCTAGCACATGTGCACATAGACATTTTATCAATTGTTGCTTAAGAGTATTTCTTGGTTTTAATGGCCATGATGGTTAAAATAAAAAGTGCAAAGGGTGCAGTTTCAATCCAGCCACTCAGACCAAATTCCTGGATGTGTGAGGATGTGTGAGGTTTCAGCAGGAATTCATTCAGATACCAAAGCCACCACAGGTTACAGAACTGGAGATTTAAACCACAAAACACCATTCCTTGTGGCTGCTGTTCTACTAAAGCTTTTTCCAAATGCTCTTCCCCAAGACATGGTGTGTCCATCCCCAATGGCTAAGGAAATTCCTAAGTTTAGATCCAAAGAAGAGTTCTGCATAGCCCTTTAGAAATGCTTTATAAAGGAAAACTCATACAATTAATTAGTGGTTCCTTTACATCAAGCATGCAGTCTATGACTCGTGTTGTACATCATTCTGCGTAAGAATTTAGTATATGCCAATTTCAATCAAAATGAACATTTTATCACACTGTAAAAAGGAAAGAAAAGGTTGACTTTTCTTCAAGTGTACCAACTACTTGCTCCAAAGACTCCTA